TTGAAAAATGTACTCGTGCTTATTTACTCCAAATTGCACTCGAAATCATGTGATTACCTCTACTAATATGCAAATGTTTATGAAATAAATTTTGTCAGTTTTTTTCATTTTATTTTAGGATGATATTTTATCTGAAGAATAATCTTAAACTATTCCATGTAAGAGCAAATTCTTACCGGTTTTTTTCTTTAGCGCCTAAGGAGGAGGAAAAAGAAAAAAAATTAGAATTCTTTGGGTGGAGGTAAAAAAAGTTTGTCTTGCTTCATGACGGATCCTGCCCCACCACTCTAACGTAAGTAATGAAATTGTTACTCACCTCTCCTGTGTAGCCAGATTATGTAAATTATCAGAAGAAGGATTATGAGGGCAAGAATACCAATAAACGCTCTGAGCATGACGTCGTTACTTGAGCCCTTGCCTTCTTCATGACCTAAATTGATTGGTTTCGTGAGGCAATATTGGAGCAAGGTTTTACTTTAATCCTGGCAAAAATACTGCTCTAATGACATGGCTTGTAAACGAAAGAATTGTTTTATTGGAAACTTTTCACATGCTCAAGTAGCCAGGAGTACGACTAAATCCTGAACGAACACTAAAGCAAGATACTCCGATACAAACTTCTGAGTATGAAATAAATTGATCGATTTTAATTTAAAGATAGCCAATATCATAAATTTGAAAAATCTCCATCAAACCAAATTTTGAATGGATTTCTGATGCAAATAAAGTGAATACTTCTTACTTTGGTAATTAAGCTTTTTTGGAGTCCCGTAAAGGGAAAAGGCAAAAAAACAACGTAACGTTTTATGAACTATTTCCTTTCAAACTAGAGATCGAAAAGAGGAAACGAGGTCGACAATGTGGAAAGGTGAAATAGAGTAAAAAAGGTTTGAAATCTTGACGCGAAGGCTGATGTTGACATAAAAACTTCGCAAACGATTGCCTCAACTACGATACCTAACCTGTGATATGACTTGTTGGCGGTCTACAGTCTAAAAGGGTAGCCCCCGACCGTCTGTGATACTGTAAGTTCATTAATCTCGTAATGTTTTACTCGCTTCAGTTCGTAACATCGAAATATGATCTCTAATTTTCAGAGTATAAAAAAGAAAAGCTGTCACCTGCGGGAGTTGTTTGGGATGATGTAGTAACTGTACTTGATGCTGGTTTAACTGGGGAAGAATGACATTGGACTTTTAAACGAGACATTTCTAATTTTTTTTTAATCTATTATTATTATTAAGAACCAATTGATGATAAATGTAATATTTCAGCAGGAGGCTCCGATCAGAGAAGCAGTTTTCAAGGTGGTTCCGCATTACGCGATAATATTCTAGGACTAGTATAACTATTAAAAGCCACCCAAAGAGTAAGAACAATGGCGATGCAAAATTGTCCGTGAAATCCAAAAACAGCACCTATTTCCAAGTGTTCAGCCGAGGAGAACAAGAATCAAGGGAAACAAGAAATCGTTGGTCGTGGACTGTTTAATGTCAAGTTTTAAACAATGTGACTTGACGAATGTTTAATACAATTATGGATGTGTGCATGTATATGTATGAAAATTATCTTCCCTTGTAGAATAAGAAGCGTTATAGCATTTTAGCTTTCTCAAAACTTCTTCAGATGAATACGCATTAGTCCCACTTACAGGGTTAAAAATTCCTTTGTTCTCTTTTCTCCTGCTGAATAGTATGTCGGAGGAAAGAGAGCTCTAACATGCCATTAAAAAATAAATATCAGTAGAATTTGCTGAAGCCTTGTACTTTGCCAACGACTTTGCTGACAATATTGCTGGATGACGTCGGCCCCAGATTAAAAAAGTAGCTTAGATTTATCAGTAATCATACTTAAATCTATTTAACTTACCAACAAGTAGCAAAAACCGGACGGTTGCATTTCCCAATTCATTTTTTGCAAAACAGGTATACCATCCTTCGTCACTTGAAGCAACATTCCTAACCTCAAGAGTTGAGCAGTTAGTCATTTTTCTGCCGTTGGTATCATTTCCTTTGTACCACGTGATATCAGCAGGAGGGTTTCCAATGTCCACAGGGCAACTAATAGACCTATCTTCTCCTAACTCCAGTTTAATAATGACGCTTGCCTGGGTGGCTGATGGTGCACCTAGAAACAAAATACGTGAATGAAGAATTGCTCTCTCAGTGAAGGTGGATATTACATGGCGTGGTGAACCTCGATATCAAAGGCCTTTAAGGATATGAAAATAATTACATTCTCTTGCCTTTAAGCAAACTGTGCAAGCAATTACTGAAGAATAAATTTATATCTGCCCTGATTGTATTTGCATTTTTTAAAGTGATATTTCTTTAATTAAATCTACTTAACTGACATAAAAAGAGACCTATAACGTGCTGATTCTGCCTAAGCCAAATCATAAAAATTAAAAAATTCTTTGTCTATTGATACATGTAGATGAGAAGTCTATTCCTTTACGTATTATGAAGAAGTATTCAGTTTCTTCGCAATTAACACTAACATCATAAGTATTCCTAAGTAAACACGTCATGTAGGCAAGCTCTTCCAAGGATAGATATCATAACGATTGAAACAGCAGAATTGAGAGAATTGAACTAAGAAGAAAAAAGGAAGAAATGAGAAAGACGAAAACTAACAGGTGTCGAATCCTCAGATTCTCGTAAAGTAGAAAACAGAAGAAAATGACAATATTTGCTACCAGTCCTATGCATAACAGGTCACCAAAATGTACAGCATGAAAGTCCCTACGCCTGACATAGCATTACAAGGGATAGTAAGGCGTAAAATTTTTCAACTATGTAGATGTTAACAATATTTAAGTGAAAAAAATGCTGCGTTTTAACTATTCCCAACGAAAGTATTTCTTGAAAATTTTCAGTATCCCCACCATGGGGTAGAAAGAATTAAGATTATTAAGATAAGAGCGTGTATATCATTGAATTTACCTTTAATCTGACGGCACACCACACTAACATCATCGTGATGCCCACAGCGATGGCCTCCCCATCCTGCGTGCGTGCATTGTGAGACTGATTTCTCATATCCTCCACACTGCACCCTATTCAGCCATACCGGGCCTGTTCCTTGTCCAAATGCTGCATCTCTAGGGGCTGATAAGGCTCCATCGTATCCCAGTTGGCGACAAACAACATCAGCATCCTTTAGGTCCCAGTAATTATCACAAATTGTTCCCCATGTTCCATGAAACTGGACTTCAACACGTCCAAACGACGGTAAATTGTCGGGACTCACTAAACGGACTGTAATTAATGTGTACACAGAGAAAAATATTTTTTACGTCGCTCTCAAGAAACGTACTGCAGCCTCCACATTTTGTGACTACTACTCTGACAAACGTCTACCGTTTTCCTTGCGATATTTCAGAATGACTTGTCGACTGGAATCAGCTTTTATCATATGTATTACGCCTCAAATTACATACGACCCATGAATCGTGGCTGAATTATGCTTATCTATTACCATTTATCTTACTGGAATGTGAACGCATCGAAGTCTGACAATAAAAAGCGAACTTGAATCTGGGTAACATGTCAGTTTTTTTTTTCTCATTTCTAGTTTCATAGCCTTATAGTTCCTTTACATGAAAATGACAATGAAATTTATGATGGAAGTCCATCATATGCCGGGCTGTTAAGGTGACCAAATTTGAATTAAAATATTCCTCCTCGAAAAATTTAGTTTTTCGTTGGTCCGTATACAAAATTACTTCGGACATGAAGATTCTGCCCGAAGCCGTATTTTCAAGACTTCTATCAAAGTGCAAATAACCCATATTTGCTATTATGAAATTTTCAAATCTGACTATTGCATTTTTAGTGTTCTGATTGGTTCAAACAACTGCAGTTATCAGCTCATATTCCGATTCACCTTATACGGAAATGCATTGCGACATGTTGGAAGTTGAAGAGTCTTGCTGAAAATATTGAAACTTTCTTGATTTAATGAAATTTACTAAGCAACTGTTCCATCTGTGCTTGTTGGCCATTTACCATCTCATATCCAGCGCGTGCTCATGGAGTTATTGCAATTATTATATGGAAAGGTAGTCCTGAGATTAACCTAAGCATTCTGATTGGTTTTAAGTTGGTCGGGGTTTTGCCAAGGACTTTGTAGCAAAATTTAAGTTATTGAAAAGATACAGGCTACAGTTTAGACAGCGAGCCCTGTAGCGGCTGGTTACTCAAATGTTCCGCTCTTTAATTTGCCGTTGTTGTTGTTTCTTAGAACAAGTACCATAAAATTGTACATAGAGACAATAAAGTAACTTAACTAGGTATGTTTTTTAACTTTGGAATGTTAAAGGACCCTACCTGACCGCAAACTGAAAGAGTTCGTTTCAAAAATAGGATAATTGATAGAAAGGTTTTACCTCAACCATCGGATGATCACAGGTAACAAAATGATCATGATTGGTGAACTGCTGTTGAAAGAGAAACAATAAAGTCTGAACTAATCAGACTTTGGCGAGGGGTTTGAACTCGTGCTTCCATGGAATGCCTCAAGTTCTTTGCTGCCAAGCTTTCAAGAAGCGAATTGAATCGGATTTAGAGAACTACAATGATTTTAAAATTATTGTTTGCAAGATCATAATCTAACTGACCTTTTAGTTGGCGGCACACTACGCCAGCATTTTTACCATGACCACAGTTATGAACTCCCCATCCTCCATGGTTACACTGCGTTATCGATGTCTCATTTTCTTCACAATTAACGTCATCCAACCATATCGGACCAGTTCCTTGTCCAAATACTACATCAGCAGGTGCTGATGAAGCTCCATTGTATCCAAGCTGGCGACAAACTACATCAGCGTCTTGTAAGTCCCACCAGTCGTCGCAAATGGTTCCCCATGTACCATTATAAAACACTTCAACACGACCAGACGATAACAAATTGGTGGAGCTCACCAAACGAACTATTGTCAATGTGAGAATATAAGAAGGCTTATTCAACATTGTGAGGGCTCCTCATAAGATCTGTTTTTGTGCTGGAAATGATGCTTAAACAATTCATAGAGGTCTATTAAAGTCAGCGACGGATTATGATGTGTATCAAAATAACAGGAACCTCCTTGAAATATTTTTGAAAGAAAGATTGTTCTGAATAGCTTGTAAGCGGGGATTTTACATGCATGTTATGGATGGTTTTACTTGTACTTTAGTTAGCATTGATTCACTAAAAATAGTGTTATACGCAGCACTTTGTAAAAACGGCTAAAATGAGTAAAAAAACAAGAAAAGAAAATCTGTTGGCTTTGAGTTGTTTATTGTGATCGTGTATCGCCAAATTACCTGCAGGTTGGCAAACTACGCCAGCGTCCTTATAGTGACCACAGTTATGAACTCCCAATCCTGAGTGACTGCAGTGTGATATCGATCTCTCATTTCCCACACATTGCACGTCATCTAACCATATCTGGCCTGTTCCTCGTCCAAATGCTGCGTAACGAACTGCTCGTAAAGCTCCATCGTATCCAAGCTGGTTACAGACTACATCAGCGTCCTGTAAGTCCCAATAGTCGCCACAAATTGTTCCCCATGTACCATTATACTGCACTTCAACACGACCAGCATGTGATGAATAAGAATTCACTAAACGAACAGCTATAAAGTGAACATAAAATTTGACCAGTAGTTATTAGTAAACTAGTAAGAACTAGCATATTCAAATGTACTATCAAAGCCAGGCAGCTTTGCCAATCCGGTATGGAAAAACTTTCGAATAAAGCGCAAGGTTAAAGTGAATAATAACGATAATAATAATAATAATAATAATAATAATGATAATAATAATACCTTCTTTATTTAAAAATCTTCAATAATCTTTATTTTCCAAAATATCATATCAGGAAAATCAACTTCCAAGGGATGTTCTTGAAAATTAAATATGTACAATAGAAAACTATGATCTTGTTAATAACTGAAAATAACAATTTTCATTTTTAAAATTCTACAAACCAGATAATAATTTTTTATAAATATTATTTAGCAATAAACTAATAATAAAGAATGCATTAATCCTCGTCTATAAATGCTTTATCTAAAAGTTTTCATTTGCTTTTATTTCTATGGATCAAAGATAAATCAAGGGCATAAAAAGAAAAACTGATCCATAACATGAAAGCCGCATAGCTTTCGCCCTTCTTTGCAGCAACTAGCTCTGCGAGTCTACAATGGTATCATTTACATTCCACCGCCGTTCCACCTGTATTTTTTGAAATGGAGATATTGAAGAGCCCTTTTCTCGAGACGCTCACAGAAATTATTCACCCTTCGGCGGGAAACATGGCATTCGGCAAAGCTGTATGTCCGCCTAACAAGACGACAGTCGATATTTATACTTCGACTCCGATTTTTCCTATTTGTCTTTTGTTGAATTTTTGCGTCCTTTTAATTTTACTGTCGTCAAGCGATACAAGAAGACCGACTCGAAGTGCAGGGCTGAAGCAACCATCATATATCTACAAGAGGATAACGCTTTCTTCATTCGAGGCTGCCATATTTCGACAATTCAACGAATAAGTTCCAACAACCTGTCCTAAGCAGAGTTGTCTCGCTCAATCCTGGCTCTAAATCATCCTTGCAAATGTTCTGTTCCCTGCGAAAAAGTCAAACCGAGCCAATTTAAAGACTTTGAAGGTATGGACTACTTCAATTGAATTTTCCTCCCTGTCTTTATTGAACTAGTGTAACCACTACTTTCATCTTAAATGGTTCCACATCATTCATAAATTTCTTAAATAAACGCCTTGATGGCCTCTTAAACAATCTTCTTCGCCGAAGTAGCATAGGTACTATGTACTATGTACTATGTAGCTTCTACTTGGCATCAGAGCGATTCCTTACAGATAATTGCATCTTAGATCAATGAATAAGAATCCTTGGCTTCATATCAGTGATGAATGATCGAGACAATCGAGGTGGCGGCGTAGTATAAAGAAAACCTAACTGTCCATCCAGTCTATAGATGGGATAATCTGGATATAGAAGCCACAATGATGTGTCACCACTTCTGTGAGATTAGAATCTTTTCTGATCAGCTCTATCTACAAACCGTCCCTGGCGACTTTGATTCAGATTTGTTAGAACGACAATCTTACAAAGAAGCGGAATCGTTGGCAACTGAGCCGCGTAAACATCGATCATCGACTTGACTCATGTAGTACACCAAGAGGTCAGTGTTTTTATTTGTTTCATATGAAGCTATACCTTAATGTGAAATTGTTTAGTAACTTTATACCACGAAACGGCAGTATACCATACACTGACTAATAGCAGAGGATAATGACCTAAAATTGGGAATGAAGATGCAACATCTCATTAATAATTTGTGGCAAAGCATCTTCCTTAGTAAAAAAAAACTTTTATACCGCGAAATCGGGAGGACCAGCCCTGGCAAGACAGCCATTTAATAATTGGGAAAATAGGTCGCTCTTTGTCTATAGATAAATGATTTCAATATCTCATCGCCTACCCTGATGAGAGCTACATCCAAGGTTGCTTTACGCAATGCCTTGCAAAGGGCTATACATGAACGATTATCAAAGAGAAGTAAGCCGTCATAGCGAGTTTTGGCATTTTGAACGACTGCCACGTCGACCGTTAACTGTTTGTCAGAGCACAGCAGAGAGTTGAGGGTCATAATCCAACCATTAATTTTCGCGCTGTTTTATTGGCTACTTTAAGTCACGTGGTGGAGAATCACCAGACTGTTATCATACAATAACCCCATCCACGTCGATACTTATCCTCCGATTATTTCTTTCGAAAAGAAAAAAAGCCATCGAAAAAGGCCAGCTCAAGAGTTTTATCTTCTCATCTCTATTATTCTCCACGGAAGAAAACAAATCGCTTGGTGGAGTCAGATTAAAAAGCCTTCAGTCTTTAGAGACACTACATAGCTACACTTTAGCATAGCTCATTACTGACCCCAGTGATGAACACATTCCAAGCCATATACGTGTAATCTTAATCGCGCTGACGAAAGGCTAACGCTCGAAACGTCAGCTTTTTTTACTCTTTACAGTGGCCAATTTACGTTTCAATTCAGCTGTTAACACTAAATTACCTGCTATACTCTCCCACCGACGCAGCACCACAGTTTCTTTAGAAACTTACCCCCTTTAATCTAAATGTGTTTGAAAGAGCTTCTTGATTTATACCATCTCAGCTCTTGCAAAGTTAATTTCTAAAATCAATCATCTTGAATACAATTTAGGGCTATCATTAAAGGTTGCAGTCGTATGCTTTAAAAAATCAAGAAATGGCACCACTTGCTATCTGTTGGTGGGAATAAGATCGCGACATGGAAGGTTTAATTGAATTACTGTTAAACATGCAACGGCTTTCTTTAATTCTGATAAGTTCATTTTTATGCTTGTTAAATATGGTAATAAAACGTACTTGTATCGTTACTCTACCTTTGGGTCGGCAGACCACACCAGCGTCTTTACTATGCACACAGTTATGAACTCCCCATCCTTGGTGACCGCACTGAGATATGGATTTCTCATTTCCAAAACATCCAACGTTATCCAGCCATATCTGACCAGTTCCTTGTCCAAACGCTGCGGCTCCAGATGCTGATAAAGCTCCGTCGTATCCAAGCTGGCGACAAACTACATCAGCGTCTTGTAAGTCCCACAAGTCGTCGCAAATGGTTCCCCATGTACCATTATAAAACACTTCAACACGACCAGACGACAACGAATTGGTGGAGCTCACCAAACGAACTGTTTTGAATGTGAGAATATAAGAAAGCTTGTTTAACATTGTTAGGGCTCGTCATAAGATCTGTTTTTGTGCTGGAAATGATGCTTAACTGGTTCATAAAGGTCTAAAATGTATGTTATGGATGGTTTTACTTGTACTTTAGTTAGCATTGATTCACTAAAAATAGTGTTTTACGCACCACTTTGTAAAAACGGCTAAAAATGAGTAAAAAAACAAAAAAAAAAGAAAATCTGTTGGCTTTTAGTTGTTTATTGTGAGCGTGTATCGCCAAATTACCTGCAGGTCGGCAAACTACGCCAGCGTCCTTATAATGAAAACAGTTATGAACTCCCCATCCTAAGTGACTGCAGTGTGATATCGATCTCTCATTTCCCACACATCGCACATCATCCAACCATATCTGGCCTCTTCCTTGTCCAAATGCTGCGTTACGAACTGCTCGTAAAGCTCCATCGTATCCAAGCTGGTTACAAACTACATTAGCGTCCTGTAAGTCCCAAAAGTCGCTACAAATTGTTCCCCATGTCCTTATGTACAGCACTTCAACACGACCGGCACGGGATAAATAAGAATTCACCAAACGAACAGCTATAAAGTGGACATAAAAGTTGACCAGTAGTTATTAGTAAACTAGTAAGAACTAACATATTCAAATGTACTATCAAAGCCAGGCAGCTTTGCCAATCCGGTATGGGCAAACTTTCGAATAAAGCGCAGGGTTAAAGTGAATAATAATAATAATAATAATAATACCTTTTTATTTTGATAATCTTCAATAATCTTTATTTTCCAAATAAAACTAAAAAATATCATATCAGGAAAATCAACTTCGAAGGGAAGTTCTTGAAAATTGAATATGTACAATAGAAAACTGTCTTGTTAATAACTGAAAAAACAATTTTTATTTCTTAAAATTCTAAAAACCAGATGACAATTCTTTTAAAAAATTATTTAGCCGTAAACTAATAATAAAGAATGCAGTAATCCTCTGCTATAAATGCTTTATCTAAAAGTTTTCATTTACTTTTATTTTTATGGATCAAAGATAAATCAAGGGCATAAAAAGAAAAACTGATTCATAACATGATAGTCGCATAGGTTTCGCCCTTCTTTGTAGCAATTAGCTCAGCAAGTCTATAAAGGTATCATTTATATTCCACCGCCGTTCCACCTGTATTTTTTGAAATGGAGATATTAAAGAGCCCTTTTCTCGAGAGGCTCACAGAAATTATTCACCCTTCGGCGGGAAACATGGCATTCGGCAAAGCTGTTTGTTCGCCTAGCAAGACGACACTCGATATTTATACTTCGACTCCGATTTTTCCTGTTTATCTTTTCCTGAATTTTTGCGTCCTTTTAATTTTACTGTTGTTAAGCGATACAAGAAAACCGACTCGAAGTGCAGGGCTGAAGCAACCATCATATATTTACAAAAGGATAACGCTTTCTTCACTCGAGGCTGCCATACTTCGCCAATTCAACGAACAAGTTCGAGTTAGAGTTGTCTCACTAAATCCTGGCTCTAAATCATCCTTGCAAATGTTCTGTTCCCTTGTAGATCATCGTAAATGCGAAAAAGTCAAACCGAGCCAATTTAAAGACTTTCAGGGTATGGACAACTTCAATTGAATTTTCCTCCCTGTCTTTATTGAACTAGTGTAACCACTACTTTCATCTTAAATGGTTCCACATCATTCATAGAATGCAGTTTACTCGACACAAGAGGACAAGGACCTGTCTTTCTTAAATAAACGCCTTAATGGCCTGTTAAACAATCTTCTTAGCCGAAGTAGCATCGGTGCTATGTACTATGTAACTTCTACTTGGCATCAGAGCGATTCATTACAGACAATTAAATCTTAGATCATTGAATAAGAATCTCTGGCTACATATCTGTGAGAAATGATCGAGAAAATCGAGGTGGTGGAGAAGAAAAAACATAAACCTAACTGTACATACAGTCTATAGATGGGATAATCTTGATATAGGAGGCACAAAGATGCGTCACCACCTCTGTGAATCTGTAGAATCTTTTCTGATCAGCTCTATCTGCAGACCCTCCCTGGCGATTTTGATTCTGATTTGTTAGAACGACAATCTTACAAAGAAGCGGAGTCGGTAATATTGATCATCGACTTGACTCATGTAGTACACAAAGAGGTCCGTATTTTTGTGTGTTTCATATGAAGTTATACCTTAACATGAAATTGTTTAGCAACTTTCTACCACGAAACGACAGTATGCCTTTTATCCCGCAAAATCGAGGACCAGTCTTAACGAGACAGCCATTTAAAAGTTGGGAATATAGTTCGCTCTTTGTCTATGGAGAAATGACTTCAATATCTCATCGCCTTCCCTAATAAGAGCTACATCCAAGGTTGCTTTACGCCATTCCTTGCATAGGACTATACATCAACGACTTTCAACAAGAAGTAGGCCGCCATAGCAAGTTTTGGCATTTTGAACGATTGACACGTTGAGCGTTAAGTGTTTGTCAGAGCACAGCAGAGATCTGAGGGTCATAATCCACCCATTAATTTTTGCGCGATTTTATTGGCTATTCTAAGTCATGTGGTAGAGAATCACCGGACTGTTAGCACGCAATAATCCTCGCCTACGTCGAAATTAATCCTCCGATTATTTCTGTCGAAAATAAACAAGGCCATCGTTTTCAACTCAGTTGTTTACACTAAATCACCTGTTATACTCTCCCACCGACGCAGCACCACAGTTTCTTTAGAAACTTACCCCCTTTAGACACTTTACCATAGCTCATTACTGACCCCAGTGATGAACACATTCCAAGCCATATGCGCTTAAACTTAATATAAATGTCTTTTACTGAGTTTCTTAGTGTATTCCATCTCAGCTCTTATAAAGTTATTTTCCAAAATCAATCTTCCTTAATACAATTTAGGGCTATCATCAAAGGTTGAAGTAAAACGATTTAAAGAATCAGGGAATGGCACCACTTGCTATCTATTCGTAGGAATAACATCGCGAGATGGCTAATTTAATTGAATTATTGTCGAATATGCAACAGCTTTTTCTAATTCTGATTAGTCTATTTATACTTGCTAAAGATGGTAATAAAAAGTGCTCGTATCGTTACTCTACCTTTGGGTCGGCATACAACACCAGCGTCTTCACTATGCCCACAGTTCTCAACTCCCCATCCTCTGTGACTGCACTGTGCTATGGATTTCTCGTTTCCAACACATCTGACGTCATTCAGCCATATCTGACCAGTTCCTTGTCCAAACGCTGCAGCTCTAGGTGCTGATGAAGCTCCATGGTATCCAAGCTGGCGACAAACTACTTCAGCGTTCCTTAAGTTCCATCGGTAATCACAAATGGTTCCCCATGTACCATTATAAAACACTTCAACACGACCAGATGACGGTAAATTGGTGGGGCTCACCAAACGAACTGTGGGAATAGAGATAAAATTTAGCTAGGCATACATGGTGAGCTTTCGTCCAAAGAAATGTTTTAATTAGTGGGGGAGCCAACAGTCAACATCAGCCTTGTAATTGTAATTGCATTTGACCAGGTCGTTCGATGGAATATACGAAAATATGAAAAGAACAACATTGAAAATACCCGATGAGAAAAGGTGCAATACAAGTTTGGTTTGCTTTAATTCGCTCTGCTGGCATCATGAGGTAGGAACAATGAAAAACCGAGAGAACGAAGGAAAGTTTGTGTATTCTAAATGATATACGATGTAGGAGTATCACCTTCTTAGCTGCTAGTCGACGAACTACTCCAGCGTCTTTAGTATGCCCAAATTTGTTGGCTTCCCATCGTCCGTGATGGAAAGTTTAACTTCATTTCTGTCAAATTTTGTAACGACTTTCTCGTATTCTGATTGGCCCTTTTTTACATGCCCAGTAAAAGTGGCAATAAAAAGTGCTCGTAATTTTGACTTAAGCTAAAGACGAGAATCGTGTGCGTTGATGCACTACAACACTTACCAGCAACACTTGCCGCTTTCGGAAGAAGCACCACAATACCTGAAAGAAAAACCACGAAAACTTATTTCTAAATTAACTTTTGGAAGATCTGTTATGTGCATGAATACTCGACATCATCAGCCAAGAATTAATGTGCCTTCTCTAGAAACTTCTCTGTGGCAGGGGCACTCATATTAAAGCTGAATAGATGGCCAAGTTTTACCACACAAACTTGGTCTTTCAATCGATTGAAAAATATAATTATTCCACGTACTGGACTGGACTGTATCAGTAAACCTGACATGGAATAATAAAAATAAAAGCAAAAACACATTTTGTCTTTATTGCAATGATCATCTCTCAGCCAAAGAACGATGTCAATCAACTGTACAATAATTTTAACAGAGGCAGAAACATAAGCATGAGCACTAGTGTAATGTTAAGACAGGCACATGCTTAATTTAGAATCACAATGTTAAAGTTATTGACGGAAGGATAGATTTAAGAATGATAGATTTTATTGCGTGGTTCTGAGGATGAAATGTGAGAGGAATGCGATCAGTTTTTCCTTCCGAGCCGTTTGTAGTGCTGACTGTCGATCAGTTTGTTGGGTGCGGTGGTGGCCCGCTTGAACGAAAGAAACAGGTTAGCCACGTTCATCGAAAAACTGGCAGATTGCTTCTGATTTTCCGGTAGAATCAGAGTCGTCACTACATAAACGACGAAGTCTGATTGAATTGTGAAAAAGGTATGAACTTCTTTTCGTGTGATGTGATGAATATAACAAGTAATTATGTGAATCTGTAGTGCATGTACCGTTGCCTAAAATTGAAATTTTTATGTTTAGAAAAGCCAAAGAAGTGCCGTAAATTTCCTAGGTGTATTTCAGAACCGGGTGAAAGGAATTGACGGCGGTTATAAATTGAGTGAGCTCCTCTTTGGTAGAGGCGGTGGCGCCGATGCAGTCGTCAATGTAGCGGCCGTAGAGTTCAGGTTTGGGGCCGTGGTACTGACTTAAAAAATTGGTGTTCGATAAAACCTACGAAAAGATTGGCATAGCTGGGTCCCAATTTAGTACCCATGGCTACGCAATTAGCTTGATTGTAGTGGTTGTCACTGAATGAAAAGCAATTGAATATGAGTACTAGTTTGGCTAGACGGATTAATGTTTCAGAGCTAGGTTCCTTAATTGTGCATTAATCGAAAAAATGTTTGAGGGCCCATAGACCTTCATTGTTATTGGGAATGAGCATCCATAAGTTTGTTTTGGCCAAGGAAATTAAAGTCACAAAAAATGCTAATGCATGTCGGCTGTCCTTCATGTATTATGGTAAAGTTTTGACAATAGGTGCTATAATTTTGTCTAAATAGCTTGAAATGAGTTCGGTGGGACAACTGCAGGCAGAGACGATGGGTCGACCTAGGTTGTTAGGTTTGTGGATTTTAGACAAAAAGTAAATACACAAAGTTATAGGAGCGGTGATGGTGAGAGTTTTTGCAGTGGCCGGCAATTATAGTTTAGCTATGAGATCGTTAATCGTGTTTTTGACCATGTTTTGGTTGATGAAAGGGAGATCTTTGTCAACTTTTACATAAAAAGAGGTGTCAGAAGTTGCCGCAAAGCTTTCTCTTTTTACTGAAGTCGGCCCGCCACACATCGACTGCGCCTCACTTGTCGGCCGCTTTAATAACTATGTCTTCGTTTTTGTAGACTTTTTAGTGCCGACCATTCTTTCGAAGAAAGGTTAGAAAATTTGGTGCCACAATTGAATTTAAGTTTGTTAATATCGTGGCGACACTTTTTGATGAAAAAACCTAAAGATGCGAATTGGCCCCCTGGGGAGTCCATTTAGACTTTCGAATCTGGAGTGTTTCGAAAGTATCTTTGTTAGAGGTGTTAGAATTATCCTCTGTCGTGAAAAGAGGCTTTTAATTTTTTATTAGTTTTATGATGAAGAAAACAATAAATTCGCCACGCATTCGTTAAAAATTTTCAAAACAAACTTTAGTTTCCGAACGAACAGAGGTGGCATGAGCATACTGCTGTACTCTCATAAAGCTCGCCAAAATAGACCATTCGAACCTTTGTTAGATTGTTTTAATAATTTAATTGGATAAGACTAAAGCAGTCAAATGTAAAACCATCAAAGATCGCAAACTGAAATAGCTCACAAACTGAAATAGTTCACGCGCTGAAATAGTTTACAAACTAAAATAGTTCAGCAGGTTTTTTATCATTCCTGTTTGATTTGTTTTTGACCAAAAAACTATTAATTAACAATCGTTTATACGTCAGCATGCGTTCATCGAGATATGAAGCACGCGGGAAGTTTGGAGAGCACGAAAGATGCGTAAGAGTTGCTCGAGGGCGTAGCCAAGAGTAACTCTAGCTTCTTGAGTGCTCTCCAAACTTCTTAAGCGCTTCATATCTCGATGAACGCACAGCTGACGTCTGAACCAGTTGTTTTGTAACATTTTCAACCAGATGGTTTAAATGTTGTAAAAGGGAACCCATTGACACCTGAACCGCCCGTAACCGCCCGTGCCGCGTGGGGGACTTGCGCGAGAGACGCTTTCCCCCCTATCTCCCCTACTAAGCAGAATTTTGTCTCCAAACTTCCTCTGTTGTTAGAGGATCTATAAACCAATCAGAATCCGTTTTTTGCGCAGTTATTTTGATAACTCTAGGGGGTAGTACAGAGGCTTCATTTTATGCGTTCACAAGAAATGATCAACTACAAAGAAATGGCGTACGCGCGGCCGACTTTCAATATTTTCAAGTCGGATTTTCTGTTCCTTTCCCACCATTTTAGACCTTCTGGAACACAAAATGAAAAGGAAAAATGCTATAGAATAATCTGCTCGAAAAATAATGGACATCACGTTCTTAAAGGCGACAAAATAAGCTTTCGAGTCGACAACACTACAATTCTCTAAAGCGATGCGAATTAGGGCCGTAAAGCGAAAACCGAACTATCGGACTTCAAGCGAGGCCTAGAGACATTATGAAGATTCAAAGGCACGGTAAATATCATGTTTGAGTAATGAGATGTCCAAAAAGTACTGTTTAATAGAAGATTTTGTGTTAAAACGTAGAACTTTCAGTATTTTCAACACAATGCTGCGCAATATTCTAGCCGTGAAGTCAAGTAAACATCGATCTAAGCATGATGAATTCTACTTCGTGGGTTTCGCACACGTAAGAAATTCGTACGTTTTTCGGTTCTAACAGAAAATCAAGAACTGTTTTGAATAAAGCTTTCTTCCTGAAACGTTCCTTGGTCAGTTTTGTCTTTCTCCTCATTTATAATTTCCATGTAACATGAGATCTCACCACACACCGATGAATTTGCATATTCACTGAAATCCGATCCGCATACTTTTTTTGGACACGTGCGCAAAAATTTACTGATTTTTATCTTTTATCTTGATTTTAGAGTAAAAACTTAATATGCATCTATTGCTTTCCTCGTTGATAGTAAGTTATTTAAATGGTCTTCTTTCACGTGAGCTTGTTTTTGGGAAAAAAAGATTTGTCAAACTTTACTGCGCATTGTGTTTACTTTTCCGGTTTCTCCAAAATTTTAACTTTTGGGTAGGCACGTGTTACACGTAGGAGTCAATGGGTTTAATATTCCCTCTGCAACACTTCAGCGCGTTGATAATTTTGTTTAAGGAAAACATTTCGCTACGCTGTAAACGATCTTGTCTTAGATTGGTCAAAAAACTGACAGGTGAATTCATGCGTGTAAATGAACTTTATTTTCTGATTGAATACAAAATTCTCGAGGGATTTGTTTACTGACGTCATGGGCGTGCACAATAAGAAAAGGAAACACGCTCACGCAATTGAATTTGATTAGACAAATTTACGCGCTATGTTCTAATAGTCATTATATGACTGTTAACAGCGTTTCAACTCTATTACTGTAATTAAGCTTGAGACAGTCTTAAAACGTGAAAACCTTCAAAAAGTCGGACAGTCTACTTTCAGCGTTTTCTCTGTGGTGTTTTTTGTATCTGCTCACGTTATAATTTCGTCAATTTCGACGTTTAGCATGTCTACAAACCGGTGTTTATTTCTCCCGTTGATACTAGCTGACTCGGTGTTTTCATCAATACTTTGGTTCCGAAATTTCACTTTCTATCCAAGTAATTTGCTCTTTTACTTACAGGTTGTTCTGGATCAATTAGAGCCAGGAACTCGTTGTTATATTCGCGTTCTAGGTCATGCAAGACTTGTGGGTCAATAGAAAAAAGAAAAAAAAAAGATATAAAGTCCGGGAAATATTCCGTCATTGCACAAATTGGTTGATGGTGTGACAAAATTACTCCGTGCAGCTGCACTCTGCCGGGATAAAGCACGACGTTTCAGCCAAATCAGAACGCGTAAAAAAATTATAATAGAGAATAGTCAATTGATGTGAAAATAGCCTCCTTGTGGTTTACTGAACTAAACAACTCTTCCACTTT